TTTGGATGACTATTTTGCACTTTGGTCACATGATAAGGAAAATCTAAATGAATTCCTCAATTTTATTAACCAACTTGACGAAAGAATTAAATTCACAATGGAGGTGGAGAAGGATGAACGACTACCCTTTCTGAATGTTGAAGTCATACGCTCCAAGGGGACACTAATGAGGAGACTATACAGAAAGAATCCCTATGCGGGAATAATCCTTAATTTTCAGTCCCATCATAACTACAGGCTGAAGATCTGAATAGTGAGGAGTTTGATCATCAGAAGTTTACGACTAACGGACAAGGAGTTGTGGGACGAGGAGTTGGACAAACTGACACGGATTTGCCTTAGTAACGGATATCCCAGATCATTTATAGAAAAAAATGTAGGGGTTATAAAGGGCCTATTTCAACTTTGATTTTATGAAAATCAGATCAGGAATCAGGAGGGCGACCAAAAGTGGATTTGCCTGCCCTCATCACAGCTGAGCCAACAATCTCGACCACTACTAAGGAAATGGAATATCAGGGTGATAACAAAGGAGAAGAAAACACTTTTTACCAGTCTGCCGACGCAACACGAGAAGACTGGCAAATTTGAATGCTCGGGAGTTTATCGTATCAAATGCGGAAACTGTAAGCAGAAGTATATTGGTGAAACAGGAAGAAAAATCGGTCTACGAATCAAGGAACGTGAAAGACTCTGCAGGAACATAGATACGAAAAGATCCGAAATAGCGGAAGACATTGCACGAACGGGGCACGAAATCAACTGGAAATCGACAGAAAGGTTGGCTGCATGTGGTGAAAATACGAGAAAACGCAAGATCCGAGAGGCCATTGAAATCCTAACCGAGAAAAATCTAATGAACAGGAGACCTGAAGAAGGCAGGATCAGCGAAACTATGCATATTGCCTAAACAAACTCAGAGCAGACCAGGCAACAGCAAGATCAGCAAAAAGAAGACGACTAGATCAAGGTAATATTCTTAATTTTAGGAAAAGAGATCGCATGGGGATGAGAAAAGAAGAATCAGAGGCAAAGAGGAGACGTCTTCAGTGAGCCTAATCAAAACAAGTAGAACCACAACATTTGTGGGTTGGCACACAAGAGACTAGGATGTATTAAGTGATGAAAATTATATCACAGATAGAAATAGGAAAGACGCGGTGGAGACTAAAGCTATTTGGCAAAAAATAGTCGTGTTTGATCATAGAAGTGATCCTTGTACCACGACTATTGTTAGCCAACCAGCTCTAGCTTCCACTGTTTCTATCCTCTTTCTATCTATGATACCAAGT